ATAAAAAATCTTATGATTGATTGACTTGATACTTAAAAAATGACCATTTGTGAATCAAGGTCAAAATGAAATCCCTAGCTCTAACAATTGCCTAATGCAAAATATAAGGGCATTTAGTGATTAGCATATAAGATTGGTGAGCTAAATTTAAGCTTGTTTTAAAGTACTAGATTTGTTTCATCTAGTTTTGGAATACCTTTGAAAGATCTATTCAAAGTCACAGTTTAAATTGGTGATTAGGATTTTATCAATAAAATTAGGTCTAGCATTCTTTATTGGTTTATATATTCTAGTTAACATCTATAATCAAAATTTCTTAGGTATATGATTTTTTAAATATAATAAAGGTGTATAGATATTCATGCTATAGTGACAGTGCACATGAGAGATATTTAATCAAAAATATAAAGACATATAAAATTTAAAGTATATTAAAGTTGATAAGAATTTTTGCAATATTTCAAATTTAGATATTTTAATGCCAATATAAAGTGCCCAAAAGTAATCTTTTTAATAACCATAATCATGTAGAAATCTTAATTGTTTTGTTACTTATATTTCTTTACATTGAATATTGTCTACAATAAATTTATTTTTTTAAATTTTTAATAAAATATTTTATTTTTATAACATAAGTACGATATAATTTTTATTTTTTGAATAAAATTTATATGTTGTAAGCTAAAACTATGAAATATCTCATATATATATATATATATATATATATTTTTAATAATTTTAAAATTTAAAGATTTTAATAAATCATAATTAAAACCTTCGAAGTTTTAATATTTATCAACAACTTCTATTCAATAAAAAATGAAAGATTAATAAATAAAAAGTAAAAATTTGATAGAATTACCTTCAAACTAAGTCCCACAAGTAATGATCTACTAAGTATAATTCATTGGGTAGAGTGAGTAGACAAGACAATAAGCAAAGTGCAATGGAATTATTTAAATAAATATTTTTTCATTACCTACGCATGGTGTGCATAGTAGATCCGAGATTTAATACTTAGTTCTATCTTCCAAAGTTACAGTGTCCTATTACGTGTTGTCTTGTTCGGGAATACACTGGGTATCTGGCTGTGGAAGGTATAGTTGTTTTTGCAAATAACAAAGAAACCCTAATAGATTTTATCCATGTATGAAGAATATAATTGAAATATCAATTTCCAAGTATTTAAAAACACTCCTCATAGTCATTTTAACCATACAATATTCCAATTGCTTTATTTCTTTTATAATTAAGTTGTTTTTGTTTTTCTTAACAAGCCCTAATCCTAGCCAGTGAGCTTTGACAAGCTGTAACTTTTGATCCAACTGTCCACTTAGTGTGAAATTTTGTACCCAAATACCAGTATAAGCCTTCTATATGCTCAGAAAATTTCAGCCCAACCCAACTTACAGATTGCAAGAAAACGCCCAAAAACCGCACTGATGACACTCGGCCGCAACCTTGAAATTTGATGCAGAAACTCCAGAAGTGATTTCTCCTTTGTCAACCGTTAACTCCAGCTCAAAATTGAATAGCCGCTTGATCTCCAAATCTTCTATTACCAAGCCAAAAATTACGTCGATCCAACTGGTAGATCTTCAGATATCACAGAAATCCTATCCAACCCTAGATTGCCAACTTTCGACAACCCTTTGTACTAAAATCCAGATATCTCTTGATTGCATCGTTAGATTAACACAAATTTTTGTATACACTTAGCACATCCAACTATCCAGACAATACCAAATTTTGATCCATAGATACTACACGACTTGCACAAAACAATTGAGAATGCAAACCATCAATGTTTTATATAAAATCCAAAATACCAAAATAAACACTAACTTCGAGCAGCGATTGCTCTCCCCTCACAAACCCTAATGAAACCAAACTAGTGACCTTGAAAAGAGCTTGAAGCTAACTCTTCGATCCAAAAAACCCGATCTGAAAAAAAAAAACCCCCCTTTTCTTAACCTTCCTCCCCTTTAACTCTAATTCTCCCCTCTTTCAAACCCTAGCCTCTGAATTTCTTCAATCTTCTGTCTTAGATCCGAAATTGGCACCTTTCGTCTTGGATCCAGAATTGGCTCCGTCGTCAGAGCGTTCTCCTCCGTTTTTACTTTTAAGAGATCCTTTTACCAAAAGGACGTCCCCGAAACAGCACAAAGGACGGAACAGCCTGAAACGGAATCGAAACCCCGTAATCAGGACAACATTGAGTCGCCCGATCAATTCAGGTCTCATATTAGATAAGAAGCCCGTACTAAGACCTGGATGTTCTCGCAATTGGACTGCATTGGGTTGTCCGACCAATTCAGGTCTCATATTGGGTAAGAGGACCCGGATTGGATTCTTGAAATTGGATCCAATTGGCTCTTCAAACCAGGCTCACCCATCGTGTGAATTGATCCTTTTCCTTCCTGCTGACTCTCGTTATTGGAATCGAACGGAGCATTTCAATATGCCCCGGTTGACTGTAACGGGGTGACTAAACCTGGCCACTCAGTATTTGCACTGGAGTCGGTCGTTGCTCCCAATATTCAAGGTAACTGAACATTAATAAAAATCCTCTTTCTTTATATTTTCATAGTATACTCGTGTTACAACACGACAATGGGATCTTAAATTTGAATCTCTAGAGCTACAACACCTTACATTTGCCTTAATTTACCAATTCTTTTTTTGGGAGATCTACTCTACTTTAAGCTTTTCCAACAACTTGAAAAATGCACCCATCATCTTCTTACTATTAGTAGAAACATGTTAGGAATTTTTAGATTTGCCCAAAAATAAATGAGTTTACCAAAATTATTAATTTGGATGAAATCTTCTTCTTGGATTTTTAAGAATTTAATAAGAAGAAATTGCATAGAACTACCTTCAAATTAAGAAAGAATTTGTATAGTTACTTGGTTTCATACATATAGTTCTATACAAATTCTCACTTACTTTGAAGGAGTGGCAATACGAATCAACAGGAGCCTCTCCCATGAATAAACTATTCAGCGACATATGAGATAATATCTAAACGTTGTGCTAAATCAATCGGACGTCACCACAATAATACCACTGCTTACACCCTCAGAGTTGATGCAGTGATGACCTTGTCAATGGGGCGAGAATTTCACGCTCCTTAAGTTAAAGAACTGTTTAACAGTGCCTGGTTCTCGTGGTAGATCTGCACCACAATTCCGGTGTTATAACCCTCCTGCATGCATTGAAAAATGCATGGTTGGCACGCTTCAACAGCCAACTACGTGTACAGTCGATAAAAAGCCCGGATGATGATACTTCATGCACTGAATTCAGTGTCAACGATGTCTACGAAAATCTGCAGGGTGCCCTCCACGTTGAGCTTCGGCTTGCCCTGGAGACATGGAACGCACTCTCTTGCACCTCCTTATCCTCTGGACCCGTCAGTCTCAACGCCGCAGCTCTTTTCGGGAATAGAATCTCGTCTTGTCTCGTTCCAGCTCTGCAACTTTCGGAGATGATGGGCAAGCTATACATGCTGTACTGTTTAGGAAGTGGATGATCTGACCCCGGAATCCGCCTCACAGGAACTGGCATTGGAAATCCTAAGATGTGGAGAGAGTACCGTGTGAGAGAAACGGACGATGCTGCGTGGCATGGAAGAATCGGCAGCGTCGACTGTAGCACGGTGTTCGATGAAAAACAGGAAGAGGTCAACACGCATTGGCCTTTGGCAGGGACTGGAAATAGGCCGGCGTCGTCCATATCCTGACTTTTCCAGACTAGTTTTGTGACGCGATATTGTTACATCGTTTCTGTGTTATTTTTATTTATTTTTATTTTTATTTGTTTTACTCTTTTGTTGTGAACTTGGTCTCCAGTTTCATCTCCTGCTTTTTACCTGCAGTGACCGAGTTTTGCATCCATGGCTGAGCTCCATTGTTGATTGAAGCTAATAATACAGCTAGATTCATTCATATGGAGACATTAGGAAAAGTAAACAAATAAAAACAAAACAAAACAAAACACCTTGTGACCAACGGAATACCCATCTTTGAAAAGAGGATGATAATGTTTCCTAGTTAATGGAAACTTGAGGTTATTCTCTCGTACAAAAGTTCCAGATTTTGAAAGGGCTTATGTTGTTTGGCATTATTCTAGTGTGTCATTGGATGCTTTGAGTTTAGAGTTTGATATTTCTTTTCTTTTCTTTTCTATTCTTTGAGTAGAGTTGATTTCATAAATCATTATTTTATGTTTGTAGTCAGAGTGAAATACTTTAAATGAAATATTTGATTGTGTGTATGTGTGTGATTATATATATATATATATATATATATATATATATTTGAGAAAACCATACACCAGTGCACAAAAAGGATAATAGAGTTTCAAATAAGAGAAAAACATTACTATAATTATTTTATTTCTGAAAATAGTTTATACCATATATTTATAGCTTATCTGTATTTCAATGTACATTTGAAATAAAATACTTTATATTGATAAAAAAATTCTTGAAAAAATATATGAGATCTTTTTTGAAACAAAAAACATATGTTCTTCAAAAGATAGAATCACATATAATAGCATGGTCATTTACAACTTGAAGAATAATATTAAAATACTAAAAATACATACATGCATTGAAATGAATAACTTTACAAGGTTTAGGGTGAAGTCAGAATCAAGAAAGGAACTAAACTTAGTTTATCACCCAAGACCATTCCAAAAAAAGACACCTAACAAAACTTGATAACCACTTTCAGACACCATCCATTATCTTATTATTAAAATTAAAAAATTGAAAAAAATTAAAAATACACCTCCCTCCCCTCCGCTCCAGAACCTGCAATAAACTATCTGATTAGAAAACAAATTGAAAAGAATGAGAAAACGAGGATTGAATGAATGATTACCAAAGGGTTGGAAGCAAACAACACGCGGCCGTAGGGGGGGGGATCTGGGCCTCGCCACCACGGTGGGACCCAAAGCCATGGCTTAGTTGGAGGAGGAGGACTAGGGCAGATTATTATGGAGCAGGGCAGGAGGAATAGGAAGGAATAGGAATTAGGAAGTAGGGCTTTGCTGCTTCTTCTTCTTCTTCTTCTGATGTTGTTGTTATGTTAGTGTGATGCCACCAGCAGCATGCACCATCTCCATAGCCCTCCATCGCCACTAACTTAGTTGGGCTACTCTACTCTACTCACTCATTCCCTCACTCACTCAATTCTCTGTTGCAACGGAGCAACTTGAGCCCCCATTCTAGCTGCGTGCGCCGGGGACGACGACGACGGAGGAAGGAGGGAGGGGATTGCGGCGTAGAAGGGTAGAAGGGGGCACGGGTCATGAGGTGACAGGGCACCCACAGCGTTGTCATTATCAGTATATCATTACTGCAGGATTAGGGAGGAGGGAGGAGGAGGAGGGAAGAAGGAGTGGTAGGATCCATGGCCGCTTCGTCTTCGTGAGATTCGCATCACTGCTTGCGTGTTGCGATCATGCACAAAGACATGGGTGAGACGAGATTCTTGATTCCGTGGTTTGGAGATTTTTGGAAGGATGGCGTTGGTTGGTTGGTTTGCTCATATGTCGGATTAGGTCTGTGGGGAGCGTGATGTGTACTTTTTGGTTTTTAGGAGCTGTGTGGAGTTTGGAGATTTGAATAATTTGGTGGTGAGAAGGCTTTTTGTTCCTGTGTGTGTGTGTGTGTGAGTGTGAGTGTATTGGGTTCATCGGGTGGTGTTGTTGGAAGGAGCCTGCATGAGTCCCTATAGATGGGATTGTCGTGTTTGATGAATGGAGGTAATGGTTGGGGAGGATTCAGGTGAGTGTTGATGGATAGGATTGTTGGTGGAGATTTCGGAGGTTGTGGCTGGGGATCATTGCGTTTACATTGTGTTTTGTTGTGGGTGAGATGACTGAGCAGAGGAATTTAGTGTGTGAGGTTACTTTTTGGCTTGTGGAAGTTGAGCCGTGTAAGTAATCCACGTTCGGTGTGATGATGATAATGTCAGCCATGAAGCAGAAGCCCAGCAGGAGCTCCCAGCACTTCAGGGCGAAAGCGAACAACAGGGTGGATGATTTGCAATGCATGGTTTCGGATTTGCAACAGGCGCGGCGAGAGGGTCGTCTCAAGGATGTGTCTATGTTAGAGGAGCAAATGCATCAAATGCTGAGGGAATGGAAAGCGGAGCTGCGGGAGGCTTCCCCCACCAGTTCCTTGCTGGTAGGTACACCTTCGATGCCCTCTCTACCCATTTTGTGCCGCATGCTGAGGGTTAAGGGTTCTTTTTGTTGAAGGTTTGTCCTGTTCTGATCAAATCTGTGTTGGTCGGTTATTATGCTTACCTTCTGGCTTTGGGTGGGGAACTGTGAACCGTATTCGGATTGTGCAGCAAGTTGCTAGTCCATGCAATTCAGAGCTTTCGTCCGACATGGAGCGGCTGTTGCAATTGCATGATGAGGATGACGATGCCACTAGCAAAGCAGCTCCAATGCCAGAAATGGATGATCAGCAACCGTACAATCATGATCACCCTAATAACTCTTCTTCTCATCATCATCAGGTAATTGTAGTCCTCCAATTAGGGATTTCACTGACCTAAAGTTTTCTACAGCTTTCTGCGGAAGAGTACGATCTGTGTAAGGCTTGTCTTTGCCAAGAGTTGTTCTTTCCTTTTGCTTCGTTCTGTTCCATCATCTCGGTCGTAGAACGTCTAAACTAAATGTACGTGCCGTTATTTTAGGAAACTACAGTTTTGGAAGCTTTTGCGAGGATAGAGCAGAGTCTTCAAGAAGATATCCAATCTACCTCTCAAGTCGCAGCAAGTTCAGGAGGTCATGACGGCATCGTGCAACCCTCGACTATGCCTCAGCACAACCCTGTGGTCCATACCATGTCTGATCATTTCTCAATGTCAGCTATGGTCTCTCCCTTAGCAGCTTACCTCCATCCTAAGTGCGCTCTGTGGGATTGCCCTAGGCCTTGCCGAGGCGGAAATGAAGGTACTTTTTATTGCAGTAGCTTCCACGAAGAGTTGGCCATCACTGAAGGGGCTCCCGGCATGTGCCCTGTAGTGAGACCGGGTGGGATAGACCTCAAAGATGGTCCTCTCTTTGCAGCTCTTGCAGCAAGAGTTGGTGGACATGCCGTTGGAATTCCTGAACTGCAAGGGGCCGCCACATCGAAGTCTCCCTGGAATGCTACGGGTGAGTCTACACGGCTTTTTTAACCTTTGAGTTTAGCTCTTTGCTTCTCTAGAAACTCTAAACTTCTTCAAAGCCCGTCTGATTTTTTATTCTTCATTCTACGATGTTATCTTCGTTCGCATCCTTAACTCTGAACATTGATTGTCTCATCATCTGTGCAGATCTCTTTGATGTTGCTGTGCATCCCGGTGAGACCTTACGAGAGTGGCTATTTTTTGATAAACCTCGGCGTGCTTTTGAAAGCGGAACTCGAAAGCAGCGATCACTTCCCGATTATGGCGGACGTGGCTGGCACGAGTCAAGGAAGCAGATAATGAAAGATTTGGGAGGATTGAAGCGCTCTTATTATATGGACCCCCAGCCCGAGGGTCTCAATGAATGGCACATGTATGAGTACGAGGTCATAGCTTGCACTGATTGTGCTCTTTACAGACTGGAACTGAAGGTGGTGGATGCTTCGAAAAGGAGTGGGAAAGTCAAAGCTCAAGCTCAGACAGACTCATCTGTGGCGTCGTTGCAGCACCAAATTGGACGCCTGTCTGCCGATTTGTCCCAATTTGAGAGTCAAAATCACGTGCTTGGCAATGTTGGCGATGGACGTGACAGCAACCGGGGGAGAGGGAGGGCTTCTCAAAAGAGAGGTCTAATCAAGAGTCCTGGACCTGGGCCATTAGTTAGTGCCTTGTCTGGTTCATCATCGAGGGAGCACACTCCATTTAATTACACTGCAGAGCTTCCATGACGCTGGTTGGTGGTCTGGGAGCCTGTACTGATTATTTTCATGGTTCCAGCAGCAATTCAAGAATCCATCACAAGACAGTCTGTCGGCCTTTCAAGGTCAAGCATGTTGGATTTCTGCAGGTTTTAGGGGAGGTCTGACCTCTACAAGCTACGCCAGTAACGTGCTATCTTCATTAGGTTCCCGTGTTGGGGCCGATCAAGGATGTAAGCTTTTGCATCATAATTTGTGCAGGAGCAATTCTGAGGTCTCCAGCCTTTGCGGAGAATGTTCAGAATGGGTGGAGGGGTTAGCTTCATTTCCGATCCACTGAAGAGACCAGATCAGTGTTTCCTGTTCTTGCTTCGACTGATAAGTGGACAAATTTCGCAGCCCACCTCATGACACTGCCTGGTAGTTCCATTTACAAGTCATATAAATATGTAGAAAGTTATCTCATGAGTTGCAGGAGACTCTCATCTCTTCCAATGGTGCGCAAATTTCAGGTAGATACTGTGGCTATCATCGTGAGTCAGCTTTTTGCAGATTCTCTTTACTGACGGACTTCCCCTGAATTGTGCGGATGTGTTCCTTTTGCGAACTCCCTCACTAGGTGATTTTGACTGATTGGAGGGGTCGGAACCCTTCACGTTGTGGTCCCCTGGTGGATGCTTCTGTTGTTCTAGAGTGCACAATGAACAGATATGAAACTGTTATTTTAAGTAAGATACATAAGGACGTTAGTGTACAGAAGTTGGTGAGATTGTCATACGTTCCATTGTCGTTTGCTATGCTATCAAGTTGTTGTGTTGAAACATGAACTGACTTTTTAACAGAGATACCTGGAGTTTTTGAAACATACTATGCGATATTAGAATAGAGACATGTAAGATTATTTAGGTCCAAAAGATGTTCGTCACTTGTCTCATCATGTGCATCGTATGTAGTAATACATGTATACACATACATTTTGGATTATCTCAAATAAATTTCGAATAGTGATAGTATTTCAAATGATAATAGTCTTTGTATAAAATGTTTTTGTTAGTTTTTCTGATATAGGTGTTATTTAGAAAAAATTTGAGGTTTTACACTTTCTAACTTATTTGTGAACTATGTTTGGAAAGTTCATAGCTACTTAGAATGTTAATATTGGATTGATATTAGATGTGAACAACTACAGTTGAACAAAGACATTATAGTATTACTTCTATATGAAATGTTTTCCAAGCAATTTGTAAAAGTTAAAAGGGATGTGTGTATGATTTACATATGTAAAATATCAAAAAAATTCTTAAAATAAATTTAGCTTCATTTTTTAAAATACACTTTCTATGAAATAAGTAAGTTTTGTTTTTTAAATTTATCAAAAACTATTTTTATAATTCTTGATCATATATAATGATAGAATATAAAATCAATAAGAAAAAATAAGAAAATGGTACAAAGTGATTTTGCACATTTACAATATTTAAATTAAGGATTTGTTACAGATACAGTATATAGGAGACCAAATAAGAAGTTGAATAGAAGAGTTTTAACAAAAAAACTAACAAGAACTTAATTAAACCACATGACGATAAAATCAACATTAAGAAAGGTGAACTAAAACTCCAAGCAATGTGTTGTTAAAATTGAGGATCCCCTCAGCTTTGGCTCCAATATATATTAGGTATTAGGAAACTCCTAAAGAAGTTTCCATGTTGCTTGAAGATGAAGCTATCTTAGGAAGCTTCTTAGGCAATTTTTTTTAATTCTCCTAAAACTTTTTAGAACCTGTTGTAATATTCTAACCACCTTTTAGAACCTTTTTAGAAATCTTTTAGGAATATTTCTAAAATCTAATAGAATATTATAAGAATATTGTAAAAATCTTCTTGTTAGATGTCCATAACAAGATTATAGTCCCTATTGTGAGTAGACAATTTGGTATCTTAATATTTCACCATTGTCATATGCATTTCTAATTTGACATGTTTATTATTGCTTCTCCAAAAAAACTTTGGCCTTTTAGTTAGATCTTTTATAATGTAAATACGAATTTTGCAAACAATTGAAGTAATATTATATTTGAAATATTACTGATTTGATCTTGATATTTACCATTAATTGTTATTGGCTATAGTGTTCAAGGAGTGCCAAATAATATTAATAAAAAACTAAAAATATCAAGAACAAATTTTTTTTTTGTATAGTTTTTATTTTTTTTATCATTATTTTAGATAAATAAAATACATATAGTAATTTCTACATTACAAAGCTATGTAGGATATATTTTCAAAAATAATTATTGAATTAGTGAATAATAATTTTAATTTTTGATTTTATGATGTAATATTAAGTTATAAACAAAAATTGATAAATAATTTAAAACTTATAATTTTAGATGCATCTAAAAAAATCATCAACATCTAATATACAAAAAATATTTTAAAGTTTATTCTTCTTTTATAAATTTTAGCGTATTAAATAATTATAAAAAATATTTAAAAATAGAATTAATTATATAATTTTATTGATAAGTTCTCTCTCTCTCTCTCTCTATATATATATATATATATATATATATATACTTAATAATAATGATAATTTTAAAATAATAAATCTTAATTATTCTTTAAGTAGTAGATTACTTTAAAAATTTAATATAATCTCATTTTAAAAAGCTTGTTAATAAACTTTACAACAAAAAATTATTTTGGATACTTTTGTAGAAACTTATACAAAAAAATTTATTAATTTTAATTTCTATATATTATCTAAGATTGTAATTTATGACAATTTTAGACAACAAGCTTTTAAATTTATAATAAATACACAGAAAGAAAAAAAATAAATTAATATATTTTTTTAAGAAAAATTTATGTCCTTGATTTAATTATTGATTATTTTAATATATATATATATATATATATATATAAACATACATACATACACAGTATGTTTATATACATATATAAACATACATATATACACACTATGTTTATATATATATATATATAAACATACATACATACACACTACCAAAAACACCTGCCATCTAGTACAAAAAATATTTTAATGTAAAATTAGGCAACATATATAAAAATGCAACATCCATTTTTATATTGTGAAAGGGCAATATATGTTTATGGCCAATGAAGAGACATTTTTTTTCTTGACCTGTAAGAAGAAACCTTTGACTTAGGCAATAAGCAGTGTTTTATTGGACTAGCATAATTTTATAATGTTATAAATGTACTAGCAAAAACTTGTGTTGTTAAGCATAAAAAATTTGTCACATTTTAAATTTTAAAATAAGAAATTAATAGCTTCTAAAGAAATGTCAATTTCAAAATAAAAAAAGTAAAAAAAGTAATATAAAATAACAATAGAACCAATTTTATTTGTTAAGTGTTATTTGCAAAGACAATCTTTTTACTTCAACGACTAAAATACGTAATAAAAAAAATTAAAAAACTAAAAAACTAAAAAAAAATGTTATATCTATTGTTGTATTTTTGGCTTCAGTATCTTTGCAATTTGAGAATCTTTATTGTGGTTAAAGAATTGCATTGTGAAAAGACAACATATGTAAAAAGACAACATACCTGAAAGGACAACATACTTTTTTACACCATGTTTTTAGTGATTTCGGCACAATTTTAAGTCATTTAATTAGAATTTTCTATTATATATGTGTATGTATATTTATTTATTTATAAAATAAATATTTTTTATTGAAAAAATTAAAATACTTCTTTGAAATTTTTATTATTTAAATGAAGTGCTATCTAAGTTTTATTAATATTGAGATAAAATAAATTAAATAATTAATTATAAAATATTACTATACTTAAGAAATTTCAAATTATCTACCATTGAGTAGGTGTAGTATAAATGTTTTTATAAATTTTCATATTTTATAATTTTACTATCATTAAGTTTGATTTGTGAGATTTATAAATTTTTATTTTTTTAATTAGTAAATTTTTATATAATATAATACTTCTTAAAAGTGTAGAAATATTTTTGAATATAAATAATTATATATATATATATATATATATACCTATATTTATATTTATCTATATTAATTATTATAATACGAATTATAAATTAAAAAAATATATGTTGTATATATTTTAAGGTAAAACTTGCATTAAAGATCTTATCTAAAATATTTTATAAAACATTTATTATTGTATTAAAAACAGTGTAGTTCAAATATTTTTTATAATATAAATCATGTTGGTAAAAAAAAGATATGTATGTGTGTGTGTGTATGTATATATATATATATATATATATATATATACATATATCATCAAAGTTTAATCTTTAACATTAGAAGATTTTTTTAATAAAGTAATATAAGTTTCTACAATAATTTTCTTGAAATAGAAAGTGATTGGCGAAAACCATATCTTTATGCCTTAAAAATCTTAGATCTTGCACATATATCATATAAATAGAAAATGTTAATTTACAAACTTGTACATCTATGGTCATCTATTACTTTTCAATACAAACTTGATTTATTTATTTTAAAACCAAAATGTCTTGTAATTGAAAATTTGTAACATATTTAAAAACATACACACACACACACACACACACACACACATATATATATATATATAATGAATTGAATTTTACAAAATAATAAATCAAATATAAACATGTTTTTACAATTGGTATTTTTTACTATAAGTGCAGTAAGTAAACAACACTTATCTAATAGTAACGGAACAATTTTCCACAATAATTTGGATATCATGTTTTAATTCTGAGGTTTTTTTTCTTTTTATGTTAAAAGTGCATACCATGCCAAATACTACACATATCTCATTTGATTATATTCAAAGCTGGTTATTTTGAAGCTTATTTCAATTAATATTACAATCCAAATCGTAAAAAATATACTTCTCAAATCTTCAAACTCACTAAAACTAAAGCCATATGCTGATGGCAAAGCTTTAATTTTTTTCTATTTTAATAAATTAAGGCATTATAATTTTTCATCATTTAAGATTTATTTTTGATAATTATTTTTGATCCATTTCCTGAACCCATTAGTAATTTTTTGATCTTTATATTTCTTTGAGTTAGTTTCTTATTATCTTTCAAACATTTATGATTAATCCAAAACTTTCCATAAATAGTTTCTATACAAATTTTCAAGAAAATATCTTATCAAAATTATAGGAGTACATGTGCCCAGAAACAGCACTAATTTTTTTGACACATGATCATGCCATCGTCTATCTATTAAGAAATTTTATTCAATTTATAATGTATTAATTTTATTATCATTATAATCATCTAATTCTCAAAAAAAGATAATAATAATTTTATCGACAAATTTAAAAATAATCTTGGCTGATATTTTTACTAACATGTGGAATAATATATTTTACTGTACTATCCCAATTCAAACTCTTATTAAATTTTTTATACTTTAATTTCAGATATATATATATATATATATATATATTCACACATACACATTATATTTATGCTTTATGTATACAATTATTACACTCAAAAAAATTTATAACTCTATAATAAAAAATCTTGCTTGCAAGGTTGAAATTTTGAGTTTTATATCAGTTTTATACACTTCATAATGAATTTTTTATGAGCAATCGTAATTTAAATATAATACAAAACAATGCTAAATTAAAAGACATTTTTATAACTTTGAATTCTTCATACAATTTGTATTATTATATCTTAATATATTTTATCAATAGTTGTAATCAATGTTGGTATGTAAATGTTTTTGTATTTGTAATTTTTTAAAAAATATTATTTATTTTTTATGAAACTCATTTAAATCAGATTAAAATATATTATGAGTAAGTTATTTTTTTAGTTTTTTTATTTCTTAATATAAGCTTTAAAGTCATCATATGTCATGTAATTTATGATGGACAAAATATTTTTATTATAGCATTAAAGTCTAATATTATGTACTTACTAGTTGAATCCATGTGGTTGTCAAGGAAACTTGTGCTTATTTCATATATTACACATTGTTTCTAAAAAATTCAAAGAAGCCTCTTAGTCACTTGTTGCCAAAAATTGGGGTAATCACAAATAAAATTAGAATCAACTGCACTAAAATTGGTAAAAGTAAAATAACATTCCTTGAGCCTATTCACAAATCCACCACCTCATAACATATAGAAAAAAACAGCACCTGTTGCTTTATGTATCCAATCACCAAAGTGCGTGCCATGTCAACTCCCCATCCAAACACTACACCAATGCACCCAAATTCGTCCCCTCACACCTTCATCGTCTCCTTGTACAAAAGAACACACGTTATGATTTTGAAATGTAGCTATAGTTCTTAGCCTCCAACCAATTACTCACACCTCTCCAGCGCATCCATCCACATACATACCTTTGCTGTATTCTCTGTGTAAACGTTTTTTGCATTGTGAGTTTAAAGGCTACTGGATGCAAGAAATCGGAGGTGGTGTTGTTGTTGTTGTGCGCGTATTTGCACTGTGAGTTTGAAGACTTGTGTAGTATGTGCAGATTGTTGAAGATTGTTTCTTGTTTCATTACAGCTGTGTTGTGAGGGAGCTATTGTTGATGGCTGATGATTGTGAGAAGAATGATCTGCCAAACACACCTTCATCTGCACCATTAGGTTCTCATGCACACGCTTTCTTTCAACAACAATTATGTATCGTTGCCTTGTGCCGCTTACTCCATCCAGCTTTCCCACCATTTGTTGTTTGGAATCCTCTGTCTATGTCCAAGGGTCCCAATTGCCATATCTCAGCCAATCCTCCCACCCATTGCCACAGCTTAATACAAACCTTCATGCTCCTCACTCTCCTTCTTCACATGTATATTTCACATTTGTGTCCCTGCTCCACCACAATGGCCTCCTCTTTTCCACAGAGACATATGTATCCTGGCATTTTAGTGTCAGCAATTTTTTTTGTTGAGCATGATGTTTGTGCTAGAATGTTACAGATAGTGTGTTTGAGCTAGAACTGTCATGAGCTTCTCTGCCACTCATGTACACATGTTATTAATCCACAACCATAAAATAAAATATAATCCTAAAATACATGTCATTTACCGATTTCAAGGATATATTCACAAATTCTTTGTCAAAAGCTCAGGTACAATTCACAAGTGCTCGTGGTACTGAAAGTGGGAATCCAAGTAGCTTCACAGAAAAACACAATCAAAGAATGAAACACAATCAAAGAGTAATTTACAAAAAAAAAAACAATCTTATTAGAAGACTCATTAAAATACTTGACTTGCAAAACCTCAAATCAACAAAGATTTGAATGAGTCAATAGAAAGATCAAAATCTACCTGGCCGCATGTGATAAAGAGTGCTGCAAGTTGCTCCTTCGCTACCTATGGAATATATCAAATATTTTCAATAACATATTAACAATCAATACTTATGAAAAAAATAAAAACTTTTGGTAGAAAGGGAGATTGGCATGATAATATCAGGCTTGAGTTTGTGCCACCAACCTCGAAGTATACAATGTTTTGAATGTTTATAATGCTTTAAATGCATCAATGGAGTAAATGCATTTTTTACATAAGTGTAGTCAAACAAAATAGGGTCTTTGGCATGCTAAAGCTCTTGCTTGGCACCTCTCAAATGCTTTTGAATTTGTTCCTCTGTTTTTGTGTCACTAAAATTCCATGCACAAAACATATTAATATATGATTAACCACTGCCAAAAGAATAATAGAATGCTAATAATCTCACTGCCAGGTACAACTCCAAATGAAATGAGCATTGTTACAAAATGCTAATATAAGGGAGATGCATGCAGCAAATACATTGTTCAATACATTTTCCACCCAAATTTTCACATTCTGTTAAGGCCTTGCAAACTATAGCATTTCACTTTTGATGAAAACAAAGTGAGATGAATGCAGCAAATCAGAACGCCATTTTGTCTCAGCTGTTTATTCCCTTGAGCTGTTTAATATAAGAGATGTTAGATACTAATATTATGATGATTCTATTAAAAAAAATTAATTATAAGAAAGTTAGTAATATGTTGATTTATGTATTTTTGAGTTTAATCCAATAATTTCAACTATACAAGATTTTTTTGAGTATAAAAATATTATATTTAATTTACAATTACTTTAAAATTCAAGAGAAAAATAAATATCTCAACTTTCAATTGAATTTTAATTAAATTTTTTTTTGCACATGATCACATTGAAATGATAAATAAAATATCAATCACACATAATATTAAAGTTAATTGTTTATAAATATTTATATTTATTATATTACAATTACATAATAGAATCAACTTAGAAAAAAGATAGATGCTTACTTATAAGCTATTTAAGCTAAACATGCACATAATTAGTACAAGATAATATTTTTAAATTTAAATAGAAATAAAAAATAAGAATAATAATAGAAAATATAATACATATTTAAGTTTATAGAAATATTTAAATAAATTCAAATAGTACTAATAATTTTATTAATTATTATAGATTTTATGTAATTATTATTTAGAATAAAAAATAATTTATTTTTTGTAAAACATGCACTTGAATTTCTAGGTGACCACTTTTATTTTTATTAGTGTTAATGCTAGAAGTTATGGTTTTTAAGCAACTCCAAAAGAATTGTGCTAAATTAACAAATCAAATAACTTTAATATATTTCTATTTTTTTATTTTATATGTATAGAATTTTTTTAAAGAGAATTTTAAGAAATAATTTGTATTTATTGATATGTTTTTCACAAAAATAAAAAATTGAGATATTTTATTTTATTTTAAATTGTTAAAAATATTTTTTAATAAAATATTAAGACCATGCATACTAAAAACTTTATGTAGTAGCATTTAAGAGATAATTGCAAGATTTTTTTAAAAAATAAATTTCAATTTGATAATTTTTAAATATAATTATTTATAGATTTTAATTACTAATTATACCAATATTTATGTTGTAATATAAGTTATTGAACATTTTGTTCAAAAAAAATGCAAGAGGTTTATTTGAGTATATACTTCTTCTTTTTTTATCTTCCAAAAAATATTTTCACCAAAGAATCTCCAAATGAAAAACTTTCATTTATTATAAGAATCTTTGATGTTTTTTGTTCAACATAGTTCTCTACTTCAACAACCATTAGAAGAAGAGAAAGTATTTGACAAAAGATTTTGCAAAATAGCCAAGTAGACCAATGGTTAAATGAAAAATCAAAACTTTGTAGATGTCTTTTATTATCCATATTTAAGTGGAGTTGATTCCCTTCAAATAGAACATATATTTGTCTTTATCACTTTTTATATTATCCATGACTACCTTTTTAAAAATTATAACAATGAAAAGACAACTTTACATATAGCTTTGAGTAGAGCTCATAACTTTTATGCCAACTCTTGATATTTTCAAATACCACTCTTCCTACCTCTCCAACAAATTACATTCTCCCATAGCTCTATGATAGCCTTTTCTCATTTGCTTCTCAACTCTCTCATAAATTTTCACCCATTTAGTCTTATACTCTTACTCCCCTTAATGCCTCCTATCACACACACACACACACAAAAAAACAAAAAAACAAAAAATAAAATAAAATAAAATAACAACCTAAAAGTTCACGTTGAATGAAGCTAACATTCCCGACAAGGATGCCAGAATATACCACCCCGTTTACTCTAATTGGCTTCTTTTCTTTTTGAACTTTCTTCATAAGAATATTGGACTTGCCACTTGCAATACTAACTTTACGTAGTGACTTCCAACTCAAAAACTACTCCACAACCACAACCACAGATATATATATATATATATATATATATGGATGAATGAATGCTTTTAAACGGTAGAATACACGGCATGTAGTGGCATCACATGGACGTCAAGGATCCTGTAGAAACTAGTCACTGGGCGACACTTGCATAGCAATTTAGAGGGTAACAGACAAGTCCACATGCATTGTAATGGGCACCAGATGCTGCCGCTGGTTAGCAAGTGGCAAGATCAGAAACTTTATTTCTGACCAGAAACAACAAGACCACTCCATTGGATCAATTCCAACCAACACGTTGTAGTCAAAAGGGGAACTATATAACAAGTCGAGAAAAGGTACATTTAAAAGGATCCATACATTTGGCAGAAACAGGGTTATACACACAATTGCCATTATCAACACCAACCCAGAGATCTCAGAATGTCTATACCTGAAAATTGGGGAGTATATATAAATATATAAATACATATATGTATATGTATGTATTACGCACATGACAAAAAAACCCAGATATTACTCGTAGACATGACTTCAAACTTACATTGTGGCATGAGCAACACAGAAGTAGTTGCAGTAATTCTGCTCAACCATTTGTAAAAGGCTTGAAAACTGTCAGGCAAGTCTTTTATATTGTCAATTAGAAAATGTCATCACTATCACATGAAGACGCAAAACGAACCAAAGAAATACCTGGGGCCTCACGCGGAAGTGAGTCGGTCGACTTCGACGGTGATGTAGTCTGAGTGAGCATATATGCTTCATACGCTTCACTTGGGTTCATTTAAGAAGGAAAGCTCTGAACAATAAGAGATAGTCCTAAAGAAAGAACCTGGTGTAGAAAGGGGGGTAGGGGGGTGAATAAATAATTAATTAAAAATAAAAATGGAGTTGCATCATAATGTTAACTCAGTTCAACTGGTTACACTATGTGTGACTGACTCAAAAAAACACCCGGCTCAACCTAAGACTTATACCTCAAGATTCAGGATAAAGAGAGATCGCAGGTGTTGCCCAAAATCCACAAGTCCCTATGCTACTAATATAGTGTTCTTAACCGCATACGGTCAAATGGGCCTTCCTTGCAGACGCATGAACTTCTCCATCACCACAATGTAGCCGGAGGCTCGTAAAAACCATGAACTCCAGAGAGACGGCACGTTACTTCATCTTCATCAATCGATACGGTTAACTTCAAGGAGATGCACGTACATTACAGACTGCATCACTGTAGAGGTCGACCGAAGGGACGTAGTAGTCATCATCGTTTAGTATTCTGATTCACTTCCCTATCATCTAAAAGAGTTGGTGTAGTAAAACTATCCACAGAAATGAAGTGAAGAAGGCATGAGCATTCCACTCCATCTAAAAACACCATCCGATCTACCAGTACACTATCAAATAGCACCCTAGTATCTAATTCGATCCCGAATGAAAACCTACTTCCTCCTGCTAACGACTGAACTTATATTGTGCACACAAACTCTCCACTGCTATCCACGTCTGGATCCCCGTCGTTCTCCAAGTCCATATCATCCACAGGGTCACCAAAGAAATTCCCTGGAGCACCTGCTCCAAGCACCCTAGCTTCGCCAATGATTCGCATGATCTCCTCAATGCTCTGAGGGGGATGGTTGGGGTCCTCCAAATCGTAACTCCTGTCAGCAAGATCCACCAGATCTGCTGGTAAATTCTTCAAGAACCATTCGTGGTTTTTGATTTCTTGAATGTTGATTCTCTACAGACACCACCACAAAATCAGCCCTGTTCTGCTTGTCATGAGACAACACTCGCATCCTCGAACAGTATATTCAACTGAGCCAGATACGAATCGCACAAGAACTGAGCATGCAGAAGAACGGATTCATCTTCACATTCCAAGTCAATAACTATAGTCGTACCTTGGCAGGGCTAGCCACAAATATTCTGGAAAGCAAGTGTCTGCACTCCACAGAAATGTGCACATAATCGGGGATTGAGTACTGCACGCTCAAGATACGCTGCAAGCCAAGAGAGTCACAGATTAGGTTTCCCGTAAGTTCTGGTCTGTTGGAATGGATAAGTGAATCAGCACAATCACGTAGTACAAAAATCGTTCCCACCAGCAAGCGACGTGGACTCACCCCAATAGTTTTTCTGAAATTCCTTGGATCTTCGGGATCCTCAAAGGGATACGCTCCGACCAACATCACGTACAAAGTCACACCGCACGACCAAACATCGGCAATCTGCATATCAAAGCATTTCTGTCTTCTCAGCTGACCGATACCGACACTATCGACAACAGCGTCTACTTGGAAAAACTAACAATACAACGCCGGGACTACTCCATACCAATACAACTAAGTTATCGTCCGACGAACTCACCTTGCCATCGTACTCTTTCTTCGACAAGACCTCTGGAGCAATGTAAGCGGGGGTTCCCACGGTCGACTTAGGTTGGGAGTGCAACAAAGAGGACTGGAATCAACACGAAAGCGGTTCAGAAACTGCAGTGCTGAGTCATATAGATAAATCACAGTGCTCAATCAATCGAACTACATCAATACAACTAGAACACTATCCAGCTTCCAGTGGACCAATTGAAAGATATTAAAGCAACACACCTTCGAATATCCAAAATCACAGATTTTCAGCCTAGGAGCGGCGCTTCCGTCCAGCAGAGTATTTTCCAACTTCAAATCCCGATGGCAGATTTGCTGAGAAAACCACGAGCAGAATATTGATAAGAGCGAGGAATTGAAAACTAAATAAAGTCCAGGTAGCCGATTTCTGGACATAATCTAAAATTTCAAGGATTAGAGTAATACCATAACGTGGCAGTAGCTCACTCCCGATATAAGCTGCTGGAAGAAGAATCTGGCCTGTCACACAATACACAACACGTCGCATATCAAATCTCTGCACAAAATATCCGAAGTCTTTGAAAAATATGCACGAATACTGGGAATAATATTACCGACCTCATCTTCGCTGAACCGACCAGCATTACAAATTCGCTCAAACAGCTCTCCACCCGCCGCATATTCCATCACAATGGCCAAATGGGTCGGGGTCAACATGACCTGAATGAAACGAGCACAAGATTTAGCACTCCAGAATTTGTAACAGGGAGCTAACCATGTCATGCCAGAATATTTATCCATGCAAAATAGATTCCAAAACCTCTGCAAAATACGAAAGAGCTGCTTCTTTCACACCTCCTTAAAGCGCACAATATTGGGATGACGCAGCGACCGGTGGTTGATGATCTCCCGCTGGACATTCTCATCAATCTGCCAAAGCCCGCACAAGACAACATGAGCTACTATTCAAAACTCCCAATTGTCAGCCACCTCGCAACTTCAAAACAAACGGAAAATTTTAAAAAAAAAAAATTGCTACGATTAGGTCGCACTACCGCCCAACTGCATGCCACGCACCTACCCCAACCTTCCCGTTTCCCCGACATCCTGTACACATCTAGGACAAAAGAAGGAAATCTAACCAACTAGACTACGAAACCAGATCCACGCACCTTCTCCCCACGCTCGATGTATTTCACCGCAACAAGCTCCCGAGTCTTTTTGTCGCGCATAAGCCTAGCAACACCAAAATTACCCGAGCCAATGTCCTTCACAAGCTCGTACCGCTCGTGATCGATCATCACTGGAATGTCCAGATGATCCATCGCGCCTCCACTTTCCCACCCCCCCCCCCCAACCCCCTCTCTACCCAATCTTCGGCACCGCCCAGCCTCCAACTAACTATAACCAACCGAAAAAAAAAGAAAAAAAAGAAAAAACAACAACAACAACAACAACAACCAACCAACCAACCAACTACACAATCACGCGACACAATTGACCCAACGCAAACCCAAAGCCATCAGGGAGATGGCTACACCAAGGTTCCGAGAGAGCACGGAGACTGCCAAGCACAAGTGAGTGAGAGCAGGAACGCAGACGCCTTGCTAGACACTGAGGCAGCGAATGGTTGTGACAGTAAAACTGGTAGGGAGGGAGAAGGAGCAGCAGCAGCAACAACAACAACAACCAATAAGCAGACGACACTGGAAGAGCTAGAAGTGATCGACAGATAGCTGCTGCTGTGCGTCAATACGAGAAGGGGACCTGCAGTGCAGTGAGTGAATGAGTGAGTGAGTGAGTGCTCCTGGTTAGAGGGAGGAGGGGGGTTGGATCCGGAGATCGATCGTGTCTTCCTCCCTCCCTGGCCTGCCCTGTGCCTGGCAATGCCTGCTGTGCGCCGGCCTCGACGAGGAGGAATTCTCCGAACTTCCCCGCTTTGGGATCCATCTCTCGCCGCGTGGGGCTGGCTACTCATCTCCATGCTGTCGGGGCCCTCTCTCTTCTGAGACCGGATCACCGAGAATATTCTTCACGGTTCCGTTCCGTTCCATCCATCCCCTTGGATTTTTGAGTGTTAGTTTATTTCCAGAGGGGGGAATGTGGCGTGGAAGCACAGCACCATTCTTGTGTGCCTCCCCTTTGAGCCTCCTCCTCCTCCTCATTCATTCATTCATTCGTACCCATCCATCAGATACCCCCCCCCCCCCTTACCCCACAACCTCGATCCCCCTTGAGATGATGGTGTAGGCATCAATGGCGACGCGTTCCCCCGGACCATCTGTCTATCGATCTATCTATCTGCTCCCTTTTTTCCTTTCCTTTCCTTTCCTTCTTTCAGACACCTACGTATATCTCCAAGTCCCTCCCTCTCTCCCGATGATGGTGATGGTGATGATGAGTAATCGTTGCTTTTCCCCAATCGTACTCTCCTCGCATTATAATGCTCCCTGTGGCAAGCAACGACAAGCCACGACCGAGTGGTGGCGTCCGCTATCACTCATCCACCCTCCCCCGCTCCGTTCCAATATAATATCATATATATATGTATATATATATATATGTATATATACAGTGACAAACAAAACCGAGTACAAAATCTGAAGTGCCAACTTTCAAGAGCAATTACAGAAATTTCAATGATTGCTTTATAAATCTGAAAGTTACATGGAATAATACACACAATCTTGTACACATGTACAAAGTTGCACATCAAATTGATAACTAAACATCCTTCTACAAAGTCAAATCAACAACTATGTCTTGTACTCAGTATTGTTCAAAGAAAATCTTCAAACTTCAATATTTAGTCCAATAACCTTTTGCTTCTAAAACAGCTAAAATCCTTTTTGGCATACTTTTGTATAGTTTCTCACAATCTTTTGCATCAAAACTAGGGTAAATACTACAAACATTCTCCCACAATTCTTGAACACCTCTTGGCCTTGGAGTGACATGGCTTAAACGCTGTTTGAAAAGGGCCCAAAAATGTTCCATTGGATTCAAATCTGGAGATTGAGCTGGCCATCGAAGGAGTTGAAATGGCTGTGAAGAGAGCCAAAACTGAACACTTTTTGCCGTATGTTTGGGATCATTATCATGTTGAAAAACCACCTTAGTAGGATCTAAGTTGCAATTTTGTGTGGTACTTTGCAAGTAGGTTTCTAAAAAAATTTTGTACAAGTGTTGCTCCATTCTACCTTCAATTTGATACCAAGCACCTGGCCCAAAAGCAGTCATACAACCCCAAATCATAATTGAACCACCACCATGTTTGACAGTTTGACTAACATGTTTAGGTCCAGGTCGTTCTCCTTCTCTCAATCAACACCAAGACCTACCATCTGAGTTGATTAGGTTAATCTTTGTCTCATCACTGAAAATAACCCGTCTCCAATCATCAACGGTCCAATTTTTGTATTTATGAGCAAAACTCAACCTTGCAAGAACATGTCTTTTGGCAAGTAGAGGCTTCTTTTGTTGTACACAAGCACCCAAACCAGCTTCTCTCAAACCACGCCTCAAGGTGATGTCTGAGAAGTGTTTACCTGTTTTTTCTCGAAGTTGTTTTGCAGCTGCACTTGCCATTTTGAGACAACCAGCAGTGACAAGGTGCACACCAAGTCGCTTCTCTTGCTCTCCTAAAACCTTTGGACGTCCTCCTCTTTGCTTTTCTATTTCACCACTAATCTCCCTCCTCAGATGAACTACTGAAGACTGACTCATTCCAAGTGAGTCTGCAACTTTTCTTGTAGAAACACCACTCCTAAGCTGCACCAATGCTTGGTGCTTCAATGATTCACACAACCGAGGCATAGAGATACAATTGACAAATCAACTTTCACTATAGATAGTACACAACAAGAGCAACACAACAAACAAAAAATGCCCTCAAATCTTGCAACAAGGAGTGTACATTGAAATTTCGAAATTCAGCAAGAAGAAGCAACCAAAAGTGAGTACGCACGTCTGTGTGCTTCTACAACACTTTTCTCATAAACCCTACCTCAAATGATAATGAGATTTTTCATCCATGTAGAGGACTGGATGAATATACACAATAAAAAAGTAATTCTATCAATTGACTTATGTGTCAGTTGGAAGGATCAATGAACTATGAGTGTTCAGATTTTGTACTCGGTTTTGTTTGTCACTATATATATATATATATATATGTATATATTGATAATAATGCCAAGCTCTTGACTTGCCTTTGGACCCAAACAAAGCTCTCCTTTCCAGGGACGTAGAAAGCGGAGTTTTGGTGTTGCGGTCCACAAATCAATCGCTGCCAAAAGGAAGAAGCTCCGGCCCCAGTTGCATCAGCACCAGTAAGTGAGTGAGGGAGTGAGTGCCATCTATCCATCTATCCATCCCCCGCACACACACACATGAAACTACGCTCGAAGTTCACATGCTAAGGAAAGCAAAGCTAAGGAGGAAAAACAAAAAGCAGCCGAATGCCAAGACAGGAAGGGCAACTCTTTCGAGCTTCCCCATTGGTGTTGACCCCTCTTCTATCTTTCCGCAAGCTGGTCTGACGTGGCTTGCCACGTGGTGATCCTTGTCACCACGAGCCGGGTGCACCTCTTGATGGGATGGGGTTTGGGTGCCACCCAAGATTCCCCTTTACTGGCCACAATCATTCCGTTGTGACCGGGCGCCACGTCACCCTCCCTGGCATCATCCTTCTCGGGTTCCCGTATTTCATCCATGTGAGTTGCTTATTTCATCCAAGAGATGATCCCAGGCGATGTGAATCATCCGTGGAACATTTTAGAATATGATGGTAATATTTATATAATTATAAACCTTTAGAATTTAAATCAAAGTAGTGTTTTTTTTAGATATTAATTAGCCTAATTAATTTCTTCTTGAGCTACCAACATTTTGCTTAAAAAAAACTTAGTGGAAAAAAGGTCAATATTTTGAATTAACAATTTCCATGAGGTTTTTTTTTGTGGGTGTTTTTTTTATATCTTTTGGCATACATACTGCAGAAGGTGTTAGGTCAAATAATAGTTCTTCAATTGCTAAAACCAATTTTATTATATCTCTTGTGTGTATACACAATACTTATTTCAATAATAATAATTAGATTATTTATTTTAGCCAAAGAAATAATAAACAGATAAAATCAAAAACTTTGCATTATTTCCTTGCTTGTCTTATAGAAAGACTTTGTGTATTTACCTCCTTCTAACTTATATTTTATTCTGAATCAAATTCTATATCTTACTTCTTTCTAATCTTCAATTATTTTTATAATTTCTTTAACTAGTTTTAATCTTTGGTAGGAAAATCAATATTAAGGATTTACTTGAAAAATTTGCATGGACTCTAGCTTGTCTTTGTGTTCTAACTATATTTCTATTTATAGAATGCCTGATTTTCACAATATATATATATATATAAAATCTTTAGAGAATCTTCAAATATTTGCCACTCCCAATGAACTCTTTAGAAATCTTTCAACACCGTCCATAATACCTTATTATCTATACAAAAATCTTTATGGACAACTATATGTTTAATTTGATATAAGATTAATATCTGTAAATTTTCTAAATTTGATCCATTTAAATTTAAAGCATATTTTTAAAATGTTTTTAAAGTACAAGAGTCTCTTTTTGATTGTAACAAATCTCCTAGATTATGAATACTCTTACCACAAGATTTGTGTTCTTTAGAAAAAAAAAAATATTCCATACATGTAGAATACTATTTAATACCATAGAGAAGTAAAGATGAGTGATGCCAACACTAATCTCTTGTTATAATCAAGATACAAAAGGTTTAAAAATTAAGCAAGTTTAAATGAGTTATTAAGATTAAATTTTAAAAAATAAATAAGAGGTTTTAAGTAACATGCATGTAGAAAAGAGTTGTCTTGGTAAAATTCTTTTGTTTTGCTTCGGTCTTCTCAATTAAGAAATCTATATATTATGATAAATTTTTAATTTTCTTCTTTTTTAGATGTATACACTTCTTTAGTTACTACTACAATAAGTATTTGTTTCTTTGTTGTACTAAAATTAAATTATTATAGTTGGTTTTTAAGTTGCTTTAATTTAAATGCTAATAACTTTCCAAGAAAGTCTTTGGTTTGCAACCTTCTTGCTATATTACTTATATCAATTATAGACTTTAAAAGGCTTTTATAAGTATTGGTTTTAGTAATATATTGTTGATGTTTGTAGAAGGTGTGTCAAAATTAGTGTCTTCTTGGATGCTTGTTGAGCACTTCACCTTTACCAAGTAGTTGTGTTATTTCTTGTAGTAGATTTTAAGTATTAGATTGACAAAACTCTATTTTTAATGACATAGTTTAATTAATTTTTTTTTCAATGTTAATTTAATTCTAAAATTTTAAAACAAAAATTTCTATTTTAGATTATTTACACATAGAATTAGAGTTTAGAATACAAACTTTATGCAATATTTGCATGCTCAATTTTAATACTAATAAAAATAAAATTTAAGATGTCTTTTATTTATCTTAGAAAAAATTATTTTATTTATCTTTTAAATATTAAGAGAAATAAAAACATAGATGATGATCTAACATTTCATTCAATCAATTATATATATATATATATATATATATATATACACCAAAATACATGTTTTGTTTTTAAAAAATTACAAAGATTGTGAGCAAACCACCAAAACAACTGTTTTTCAAAAGATACATACAGGAAAAGAAATACATTCCTTACAAATATCACACATAACCATGCAAATGTTAATTTCATTGGCATGTATTACAATTTTCTTTGAAGTTGGAAAACTCAATCAAACAAGAAAAAAGAAACGCAGAACCACACGATCACTGAATTTGATGAAAACAAGACTTGGGAAGAACAGACAAAGCCTGTCCTAAGTAAACTGATCAATCCATTTCCCGTTGGAGTTTTGGCAGTGCAAGTTCACTGGAAAAAGACGGATTAAAGAGGTCTGTCAAGGGTTTTAAGTACCATTGGCGGTGGCTGTTTGAACATACCCAACTCAAGAGATTGATGAAGAAAGGTGATCCATGGATGGACAACACATGAGTATTGTTAGATCATTCCCAACGCTTGCCTGCACGATTAGTGTAGAAGCATTCGCGTGGCTTCGGTTGAATTTCACAAGGAAATAAGTACTAAGAACACACATGTTGTAAACTAAATTACGTTTCTGGCATTAAACCACTGTTTTCCATCAATAAAATACATTTAATGATTCATTGAACTCTCATGATTATTATTAATATTATTGTTTGTCAACATAAGAACGAATCCGCGTAGACACGTTAATGAGGTTGCCTTCCTGCAAAGTGAATGAAATCATGACACACTATCCATTGGAAGCCATGTCGGATTGCTTCGTGAATACTTTATATTTTGTACTTTGTGATGCTGGAATAAAGTGAAGTGGATTTGACACTTATATTCGACAGCGTTTGCTCAATATGTTACTCTTAACAATCAGCTCTGAAATGCTACAGTTTGGATACAAACACATTAATATCCTACAATCTATGAACATGATCAAGGTTATTAAAGCAATTACTTGATTGACAATCGAGTCTTCATATCCTCGTACACAAGGTATGTAATGCTAGCAGATGGCACCACTTTCAGCATGTTCGGCAACCATCCCTTGTAGAAGCCTCGCAAGCCTTCCTTTCGATAAGTGTGTCGAAAAGCATCCACCATACCTGTGTACCTTTCATTTGACTTGGAAGATTGTGCTTGCAATCTGCACACCAAGATTATTTGTTTTAATATACTTTTTATCAGTTTTATCATTTCTGGAAAGCTTGAATGGTTTACAAGTACAAACTTCGTTGGCATTCAAGTTAAGTTCAACCATATACCTTGTACGAATGAGTTGTAGGGGATAGACACACGTGGCTCCAAAAGCTCCAGAGAAAGTGCCACAGCATAGGTGCACAAAGGGCCCCGGCTCTGCGTCCACATTGAAGGTTCTGTCAGCCACAATTCAAACCAAAATACTCTGACACCATTTAGACACCAAGCCTTGAGGTGCTGAGCTACAAACCGAAATACTGTACAAAGAGTACCGAAGATGACTCAACTCTAAGCAGACTCTCTCGCTTAGATGAATATTAATTTTTAGATGAGTTCATATACATCGCATGGAATACAGGTTTTGGATCACAGTCCACAGCGTCAATTCAATCCTGACTATGAAACATATGTGGCCCTGTAGGTATGAGAGCCTCCAAGACATCCAATACACTCTGGCACTATGTATTCTAGTAGAAGAGTGACTATGTAGGTAGCATTCTAGGATGAAATGCATTCAGTAAAGAAACATGTTACATACAGACAAGAACGAAACTTCCTGTACTTGGAATCGCCCACTAATCATCTACAAGAGAGAAATCCTGTGGCTAGCACACCTTGGAATACATCGCAGCACCTGAGACTATGCAGAAAACATACTCAATGGGAAACCGAGCTGGCTTAGATTATGGTAATGCTAGGCTTGCCATCAGATTACACTATGCAAATTATCACTAATCTACTTACAGAATATCTATCGAAAAAGTTGCAATTACAACAACGGGACCAACACGAGTGTAGAGGAGTATCACCATAGATAACTGTCAAAAAAAGTAGCGATCAACTACGTCAGTTGGAGAGAAAATTTCTGAACGTGGAGATGACACATACCAGTACCCGGCGGCAGTAACAGTCGAGCCTTGATTTTCAAAGTTTCATACGTAGTCAGGTCAATGCCAGCATAAGGGATTATGCCTAGGAGAGATGGTAAAAGGCCCCTGTACAAAGCTCTCGGACCTTCGTGAATTAAAATGTCATATGTAAACTTGGCTAAACGTGGCGCTCTTCCAGGCTCATTGTGACACTGCAGACGCGTCTTCAACAAGTCTAAAGGATAAATGATCGTCTGCGCAATAGCACCTGAACGAGCAGCAACAAGATGCCATTTAGAACCACCCCAACATAATACATAAAACTTGGGATAAAAAGTGACTTAGAAATACGCCTTAAAAATACGCAGTAACGAGCCATGCTCAACCCACCTGCGGAACCCCCTGCAACCAACCGACCCAAGGTTCCAATTTCTCCATGCTTCTCATCACCAACCAGTGCACTTTTCATGATTTCATACGCATAAAATTTAATTGCCGATTCCGGAGCCACCTTCAGGACGTTTAGACCGTTGCCACGGAAGAACCCAATGACACCATTTTTTTGATATATATGCGTTAAGCCATGCATGATACTGGAGGTGGTACTGTGGGTCTGGACCGCAAGCATCACCTTCAGCCGGTCTAGAGGAGCCGTCGCAGTGCGGCTCATTGCACCCGCCACAGCACCTGCCAACAGGAACCGCATCCTGTTGTGCTCATCAATGCCCTCTGGGATGACAGCTTGCTCGCCGATGTCCACTAAGGAGATTTTCTCCCAGTATTGATAGATGTTAGACAACGTGGCCTCATGCGGGTACATCAACAAAAAATCACGCCATTCCCCAAATGTGATGTGCCCATTCTTATCCTGGTCAATGTGTTGCAGGAACGCATCCAGCTCCTGGTCTCCCAATTGAACTCCTGCACGCAAACCAGCAATTGGCACAAGTTGACATGACAGATGAACATGGCCGCTCTAGCCTAAACCGCACTCCCCTGACAAACGTCGCTGACATACATTAGAAAAATGGTCCGCATGACATCACAGAACAGAGAGCAAGGGAATCCAAACCTGCATTGCGAAGAGCAAATAGCAGCTCCTCACGCTGAAGCACACCGTCACGCGAGACATCAATGGCCTCAAAGAGGTTAAACAACTCAATCTCCTTGTCGTTCACATAACGCCGGAATTCGGCGAAGTCTATGCGCCCATCGCGATTGGCATCGCATGCCTCAAGCAACTCCAACACATACTTCCGCTGAAACGGAAAGGACAATGACTGCAACCCAGATTCAATCTGCGTGCTTTCTAAGTACCCGCACTTCCCACTATCGAATGCCTCAAACAACTTCCGGATCCGCATTTCCCTCTCCTCCTCACTCTCCGAAGCAAGCACCCGGGACTCCACACCCTCCTTCATCTCCTTAACTCAAAAACCCAGTTTCAGCGCCGACTGAGGTACTATCTCACGATCTCCAATCCTACACCCACAATCCCTTTTCCCAACCCACATGAAATCACCGAAGGGAACTGATTGCCTCCATTCGCCTCACCGCAATCGGCACTCTCTCCGCTCTCGTGGCGAAATCCCTTACTCCTCGCCGCCATCACCGCGCTCCAGAAACGAGAAGAAATCCGAGGCAGCTGCATCCCAGAAGCTTGTATCCGTATGACCAGCGGGCGGCATCGAATCAAATGACTGACTGGGTTTCACAGATCGAGGAATCGGGCCGACAGATTCCGATTACAGCAGCAGGGAGAGAGAGGCGACGATCGAGTCGCGGCGACCGATGCCCGCAGGGGTTTTTTGCACGCTAATGCAATTGCTCTTCACTACGGTGACGGTGCGAAGACTGACACGCGGCAGTTTCGTCTCAACCCTGACCGCCACCTGTCAGTCGCTGATTAGGTCAGTAGAGAGATAGATGAGTCGAATCCCTCAGAGCCCGTTTTTTTATTAGCTGGATTCCACGTCAGATTATCGATGTGGTGTAAAAGGCGGGAGTGGATTTCACAGGGCGGTCAACTTTGTTGGCGGTGGACGGCAGGCAAAGCAGGGAGGAGGATAATGTGGAATTATACATGCGGAATAGCATCTGGGTTGGAGGATTGTGGATGTAATTCATCCATTTATTCATACATGTATTCATCCGTGTACTTATCCATCCATGGGCGTATGTTTGTGAAGATGGCAAAAGGGGCGGGATGAGATGACTGTTTCGATTCCTTTGCTTTGTTAGTGGACAGTGAGTGTCCTACAGACAGTTTCTGTGTGTGTGTTTGTGGGGTTGTTGTCTTCTCCACCTACTCTTGCTGTGTTTCAATTCTTGTTGCATGGTTTTGGTTTTACTGTATTGTTTTGTAGTAGTCTAGGGAGTCTTCTTTTGGTTGGATGGTGTTCCTAGACGGCCATTGTCATTGTGTGGTAGCTTGAGCTGTAGTGCTAATTTATTCCAGTATTGGTTTTGGATTTGTCAATGTATATATATATATATATATATATTCTGGATTTCAATTAATATTTTTTTAATCTGTTCTAAATTCAAGAAACTACATGTGTGTCTTGTATTGCAAAAATTCAAATATATAGGATTACATGCTAAAGATGTGTAATTCAAACAATTAAAATAGAATTTTTATACACATCATTTACATAATTTTTACAAATATTTACATAAAATATTTTTTTAGGCTTTATTAGAACAAACTATAAAACCTATAGCTAGTAAATTTATGTCACAACTATTATTTGGATTCTAAAAATTAGTTCTACTAAATTTTGTATTAAATTTATAGTTTTCAATTAAAAACAAAAGAAGAAGAAAAAAAGGTTTTTTCATCCAAAGAAAAACAAATTAGAAAATGAAAACTCATTAACAATCTAAAATTTAAGGTTGACAAAACTATATTAAATAATAGAATACTAATATCCATTAAATTGAAGACTTAAAATACATTTATTTTAAAATTTTAATAAAAGTATAATAATTGTGAATCTATGTATAATTAATTTATATGTATATTAGTATTGGTGTATAATATAAGTTGGTAATTTCTACTATATAAAATATTGATTATTAATAAGATTCACATTAGATAAATCATCAGTATTATTTTTAGTGGTTTTTATTAATAATAAAATTTAAAAAAGCTTCTAAATAATGCATAGTTTACCTATTATAATGATAAATTTACACAATGAAAAATAAATAAAAATGTGGTGTATAATTAAGCTTCTTTGAAATATAATTTTTTCAATAATTGGCAAAATATAACAATTAATTCTTATTTTAGTTGCAAATATTCTTCAAGGAGAAAGAAATCAAAATCAAAAGTTAATACAAAAGCAACATCTTGAAGAACTAAAGTTTTGTTTAACAAAATGTTATTTTTATTGTAAGAGAGTCAAGGGGAAAGTTTTGGAGGCCTTGGACCATCAATTTCGGCATGTTAACTTGCATGATATTTTTCCTTCAACTGGTACTAGTAGGATTCACCTTGTAACTTCAAAGAAATTCTAGACGAAACAAAAGCTGAGTGCATCAAAGACATGCCAAGTTAGAAAAAAAAGCACATGACATTCCTCACGGCCAGCTCAGCCACCACTAAACTTACCTCGTGGCGTCCTTAGCCGAGTGCTGACGTGCCACCCTCCGCCTCATGGTGACGTGTCCTCCAGGACCCAAACGGCTTCGGGCGACAAAGGATGTCTCCGTTGAGCACCAAATCGACCAGTTCCAGTGCTTTCTCTAACTGTTGCGGCTATCTCTGTGCATTTTTGAGCATTCGAAATCGCAACAACTGTTTATGTCGCTCCAATTTGACAATTTCGTTCTTGAGAGTTATCTGAGTTGGTTTTTCTTAGGGTTTGGAGGTGGCTAGGATCCGAGGTTGAGCAGGAGACGTTCGGAGGATTTGGACTAGAGCAAGTCGCAATGCAATTCGCAGTGCAAGTCAATGGTGTTCAGGGAAGGATAATGCATTGCAATCCCTGTGGTTCGTCGCTCCTTAGCACAAGGAATGGGATTTTGACGAGAGGTTCTCCGTGAGTTGGGAACTGGACGATTGGGTTAGCGAAGGGACTCTCTTGTGCGAGTGCATTGTCGTCGCAGTTTCTATCTCCGAGCCTGGAGGCCTTGCGATTTCCTGCGGGGTTAAGGCATTGCCGTGGCGGAATGGTTGAGAGTGTGCGGGCGGAACCCATCGTGGCTACGTATGCGAATGACGGGTTCGCTAATGAGAACGAAGGAAAGAAGATTGCTGAGGTTGGGGATTTTACTTGAGTCAGAACAATTGCATTAAGCACGCCTTGATTGTCATTGTTTCGGACACTGATGCGCGCGATAGCGTAGTAGTGTCTTGATTCTTCTTTACTCATGTGCGTGATTCACTTTAGACTCTGCTGCTGATGCAGAGCTTGGTGCTTCCAGCTGTTTTGTCTCTTCATGTGTGTTGTCTTAGCGAAGGTGTTTTGGTAAGATTTAAATTTCAGTTCTGCTTATCTACATTGCGAGTGCATCTCTGTGCACTTTGAGTGGCAATTTTTCAATGGTCATTTCCTTACAACTGCTGCACCCTCTGCCACCGTGACATCCACTGGATTCACGCATTGGTGTAAATCATCAACATGCGTTTTTCATGCATTGTGCTTCTATTAAAAAATTACTGCTCGAATTAGCAGTGTTTCAATTTGAGCAACTGTAATGCCCTTGCAGGTTGCTAAGCGGTTGGAACGTACTGCTGGGCGTTTCAAGCGACTTGGGAGCTTAGGACTCCGGGGCTAACTTGTGTGTACAGTTGTTGCAGACGTCATTCTGTGGCGGTTACGTTCCAAGCCACATCGTCTGTATCTATATATCTCACCGCTGGAGGCATTGCTGCCGCATTTGTATCTGTATTCTGGTCATTTGGGTAGATTCGTCCGGCGAAGAAGCTGCGTGAAAATGTTGGCAGTCCAGCCAAGGTACCTGTCATTTCCAGATAACGCTCTTGAGAAAGTTTCAAACTGTGTCGGAGATTGCTGCTCTATTGCTATACCTTAGAGTTGTAATTTGCAATATATGACGATGATTTTCCCCTATTTTGAAGGCTCCTTCTCGAGCTCAGGTGGTGAAGAATATAAAGAATGGCATCATCATCAATTTGCTTGGAATGGGAGCAACATTGCTAGATTTACAAGCCACGGTTGGTGTCCTCGTTGCCAAGGCTCTTACATCCTCTGGAACGACATACATGCAAGGAGCCCCAACAGGCTATAGTCCAGTTCTTGCACTTGATGTCTTTCTTGTACAGGTGAACATCTGTAGACAAACGACATGACTCTCCTCTCTCTTTTGTTTGTACTTGCGGTGCTTAAATCTTTTAGTATACCTCTAGAAGTTAACTTGGTTATGTTAGTTGTGTGAAATGGTTTTGTTATCTGAAAGAATGCTTTCATTTGTTTTTTCGGATGCAAGTTTTCATTTTAATTGACGTGAACGTTTTTGATGAGTTGTGTTGCACAGGCTTCAGGTAATGCTATATTAGCTCATTTCTCGGTATAATTTTCTCCCTAGAGCTGCTGCGGTCGCTAAACAACTCTCCACCTAGCTCGGAGCAGCTCAAAACAGTTTAACCTCAAAAGCCTCTGATGGAGGTTCTCCATCACTGGTGTCCTGCAGCGTGGAGAGAGGTTGCGTGGTTGTATTTTACAAGTCTGTAAAGCCATACTTACCACTAATTTGTTGGGTGCGTTTTCAATGGGAATGCCTAGTTTTGAGTTTTGAAATAGAATTATAATATTTAGGATTTGGTCAAGATTAGTGTCAACAATTTCTTTTAATTGACTTGAAGAAATTGACTAGGTTCACCTCCAGTTATTATAAAGAAAGATAAAAACATTGGTTAATTAGATTTGAATAGAGATTTCAAGTTTTGTCTCAAAGAAAAAAACTCTCCTTTATTTGGTCTTAAGGGCTCAAGACTAAGGTGCTAAGATTATTTGCATTACCTAAAAGCAAGTCATTGATGCAATTATTATAAATTTATTAAGATTTCTTAAGAAATATAATAGAATTTTAAAGCTAATATAGTTCTTTTGTTGTTGAAAAGATGATGGAATTATTTAGACAAGGTGTTAGTTAATACTTACCTAAAAAAACAAGTCATATTGCTATGAGTGATTACTAATAAACTTTGGTTTAATATTAGGATTTATATATATTTCTTATAATAGTTATTAATTTATTTCTTTAGAATATATATAATTTTTTATAAATTGAATCAATACTTTTAAAGACTTATAAATTCTTTAACTAAGTGGCTTAATTAATATATGAACTATTTATAATAAAGATAGAACAAAATTTAAGAATATTTTATTCATTAAAATATTTTTTATTCTAAAGTATCAATATATTATTATTTGTAAAGTCTTTGATTTAATATTAGGATTTTTTACTATTTAAATGTAATCCTTTTTATTAAAATAAATCACATTGGATCTATAAACTCTAATTATAAAGTTTTATATAAGTTTCTAAAATTAAATTACTTACTTTTTTTAACCATGAAATATCAACTTTTGCTTGTTTCTTTAAAATTTTCATAATTAAACAAATTTCTAAGATAAAAAATATATTATCATTTCTATTAATAATATTCTTTATTGTTGATATTAAAAAAGATCATTAATTTTATATTTGGAAGATTTTTCTATAAAATGCCAAAGCTATAAGTACTT